CAGCAATCCTTAGCCCTGGTTCACACTGGTGCAACTTTTCGTGCAATTTGACAGTTTAAAATTATATGACAAGTCGCACTCTATTATCCACAATGGAACCGTTCAAATCAGCGAGACTCCCGACTCCAACGGAGTCGTACCACTTTTGAAAGCATTTCCTGCACTACTTTTTGCGATTTCAGGAGCGACTTGCATAGACATTTGTGCATGAAGTCCCACAGATGTCTTCCAAGGCGCACCTGAAGCTGCACTGGCATGTGACTTTGAAATCATGTGACTTCAAGTGAAGTTGCATGATTTCAAAGTCAGATCCAGTGTGACCCAGGGCTTACTTATTATGGATTGCATGTATGCAATCTGTTCACTGCACTGCAGGGGGCGCTCAAATGAGTGTTACCACAGCCTGGAAAGGAAGTCAGGGGAAACTTGGGTCACAGAGTAGTGCGCTGGTTGGCTACGCTGCATCCATGTGATCCCTGGCAGCCATCTTGGGTCAGCAGGATCTTTATAAGTCCTTGTCCCCCTGGTTTTGGAGCTCTTTGGTGAAGTTGTTGGAGTAGGGAGAGAGACCTTGTCTGACAGGGAAAGTGACTAGTAGCAGGGAAATGTTCCTCATGAGGAGGGACAGGCTAGGGATCCGCTATCCTCAAAGGAGCCTCCCTTTTTGGGACTGGACCAGCCAGGCTGAACTTCACCTTCTTAAACAGACGCTGTTGCTGCATCTCTCCCTGCTGCATCTCTGCCTTTGACTGAACTGCGAGTGTTTTCTCCAAGCGGTGTTCTCCCACTGTGGTGTTTGTATTTGGCATTCTCTTCAATACAAGTTCTAAATTTTATTGCAGGCATTGATTTACTAAAGCTGGAGAGTGCAAAATCTTGTGAAGCTCTGCATTAAAACCAATCAGCATCCAGGTTTTATTGTCAAAAATTAATTGAACAAGCTGAAGTTAGAAGCTGATTGGCTACCATGCACATCTGCATCAGATTTTGCACTCTGCAGTTTTAGTAAATTAACCCCTCTGTGTCTTTGCTGTCACCGCACCATGCTGCACCTTCCCACATGCACACTTGACAGTTGTACCATGCCTTGTACTGTAATCATGCTGTAGCATATTTAGGGCACTTCCGAATATATTCATGAAATATTGGCACAGAAAACACATTAAAATAATGTTTTCTTCAAGAAGTTTACTTCCACTTTTATTAATGCGTTGTGACAGATATGGTGAAATGAGCAGCAGGTTTTTCAGAAAGACAATTCTGCTTGAATATGCTAAAACTCCCTGGGAAGAATGTTGGAGTCACAACAAGGAATGGAAAAGAATTTTAAGCAGACACATGAGCGTTCCCTGGACACAGCTGTAACACATACAGTTTGGAGCTATTAAAAACAGCTCAACCTAATAAACTTGCCCATTTGGTTGGATCAATCTGGAAACCTATGAAAGTCAGATCTGGGTGAGAAGTTGGTGGAGAGTCCATCCCTGAAGTGCTTTTTGGTTTAATACAGTGCTGTTTGATAGTGTCCTTTTTTAGGGTGGTCAATATGCTTTGGTAAGAGGCAGTGTGTTTGGTCTGGTGAAGGGTTTCTTGTTATAGTCATCATCCTTTGAGCACCAGCATCCATCGATTAGCCTATTAAGGCTTTATAGGTGGACTGTGTCACATTCTTCCAGCTGAATCACACCGTTTGTCTGTTGAAGATACTTTCCAATTTATCTGTTTGCATTTTACTTAATTAAGTTTTTAAATGTTATAGTGGTTTATCTGCTTTTATTAGCCATGCACTTTTCTTTATATGTTTTTCTGCCATTGATTGCATAACACTTGAGTTCTGCTTGGCTTCTCCTAAAGGGCCAACTACCAACTTTCCTAGAAGAGAATTCTGGAATTGTATTAGTGTCTGTTTTTGTGTTGTATCCTGTACCCTAACCCTCTCTACATTGCTTATTAGACTACTGTATATAAACCCTATAAATGTACTAAAGTCACTGGTGCTCAATTCCATTTACCCCACAACAGGTCAAGTTGAAATGCTAGCACACCAAGCCACCATGAGAGCCTCCTTAACTTCCCAGGGGTAAGGGGTGCTACATATAAAAATAATCTACATCCCTTTTAGCTATATCTGGCAGTTAGTGTAAGTTACATTTAGCTCTGTGGTTTTATTTAGGAGGTCAGCTGTTAAAACACATCCCAGATCATCTCCTGATTCCAAACCCATTTTTGGTCTCTACTGTCAAGTATGTTGGGAAGTCAGGACAGTCAGAAGCAGGCAAAATTACATCTCCAGACTTCATTTCCAGTAAAGTACTGTAGGTAGGTCAAATCACAGTGACTGGAATCATGCTGGATAACCCTATTTTTACAGTATCTGATCCTCTGAGGTCAGTGTAATTTACTCTTACCTTTTTCTTTAATGGAGTTCTTATAAGTAAATCAGGACACCTGATAAAAGTTTTAGTGTATAATAAATCATATACTAACAGATCTGTTTTCAAAATCACAGCAAGTGCACAACCCAAGAAGTGATTAAAGTGGAACTGCTCTGCATCTGAGTACCACAAACCAAATATGCTATATAATTCATTTTTAATTTTCAAAACAAACTCACCCATCCATCCATGCTTTATTTTTCTGATAAATCATTTTAAAAACACCTCCAGGAATTTCTGGCAGTGGCCATCTTGAGTAAGGGCAGATGATTCTTGTAGCAGTTACTTCCTAAAATGTATCTGTCCTTAGCTCAGGTATTGACTGAGGTGATAATCCTCTCCCCTCCTGAAAACTCCTGGGATTTATGATGTCATTTGCCTAGACATGGAAACCAGGAAGTAAATTAACCTCCCTGGCGGTATTCCTGAGTGTAGCTCGGGGTAAAGTTTCAGTACCAAAAGCGGTAACCCCGAGCTACACTTGGGAATACCCTGCAGCATTGCTCAGGGATTCCCTGTAGCACTTACCTTGTCCTGTGCTCCCTTGATGTGACCCCTGCAGCGTCCCCGGCCATCTCCTCCAGCCGATGCCAGCATCCGTATTCCATCTTCCTGTGAGCGTTGGATGTACGGGACGTACAGGGGCCGGAACCGGCAGGAAATTTGAAAATTTTAAAAACTGACATTCACTAATACACTAAAATCACATAGTAAAACATTCCTGTTTCAAAGCATTTCACATACATTTTGTCCCTAGTGCTTTGTCCTGTGCCCTGCCTGCATTTTTACTGTTCTTTCTGCCTGGAAACTGAGAAAAGTCCATGGCGTACAAAAAGCGTCCCTTTAGGTCAAAAGCGGTTTTAGACCGGCTAGAGAACAGCGATAGTAAATTAGAACCAATTGCAGAATTGAGTGATAATGATTCGTGGGGAAATTCATCATCAGACACTGAAAACAATTCTTCGACTGAGCTCAGCGATGTGCGAACTTGGCGCTATATTTCACATTTCAGTGTTTTTAATTTGATTACATTATTGAATTAAATTTATTATTAGTATATTATTATTATTTATGATTATTTATTATATTATAATTTATGATTTTGTGTTTCAAGTTTTGTCAAATCCAGGATGTTTACTAGACTCTTGTTTGGACAGATTTCAGTGAGTTATTCCTAAAAATTACAGGCCTACAATACAAAAAACGACATATTTCCATGCATAAAAATGTACTGCTTTGAGCACAGAAATATGGACATAATCATACCGCTAGGGAGGTTAAGGAATGAAAAAAAAGGTTAAAACAAGTAAATATTATATATTTTTCCTATTTATGTACTAATGCTAGCAGCATAAGGATTAGAAATAGTCCATGTTGATTGAGAGAGTGAAGTTCTGCTTTAAGAAAATGATACACAAGCATTGGCAAATTTAAAGTTTGTTAAGGGGTGCATAATTTAATAATTTACTTAATTTGGAAAACACAAGCATATGCACCTACTTTGTTTTGCAAACTCCAGCACCCTGGCCAGCTCCTATCCTACTATACTCAGATACATACAGTACATGGTGTCGTTCAATGTCAGTAATAAATCGTTTTTTTCTTGAGAATGAACAGTATTTCCTGCAAACCTAATTCTTATATCTATCACACAGCAACACATTCATGGAAGTGCTTATAATGGAATTTCTAGTGTTTTCTAACTATGGGTGTCAATTATTGCAAGCGATACTGCATAATAAAATAAGATATAAATACTGAAATATTGCTTATAGGAGCCAACCAGATGCAAACTAACACTTCTCTACTGCAATGAGAAAAAAACAACAAACAATCCAATTGGTTTCTGTAGCAAAATGTGTAATTTTTGTTCCTTCTTTCCTTATACAAGAGAGAGCCAGGTTTATTACTGCTGAAGGTTAGTGAACCATTTTATTGAAACAAATATGTTTTAGACCCTTTTTTGAATGTGGAGGTCCATCCAAGATTTTATCCAAACACTTTCTCTAACATGAAGAGCTTCCAGGACCATTCTGTATATACGAGTCACCAGCTTAGCGCAAACACACTACAATTTATATACTCCATGGTACTCATTGCAATTGCCGCTTTCTAGAGATCCAGTGCCACCCACCCAATATACGCAAATTATAATAACTTTGATTAGGTTGTATGTAAAGTACTTTATAGCAACAAGTTCAGTGTAAAAAACTCCCCTTTGATTGCAATAAACCTAATTTAACACATGCCATTCTGCTTGCTTGCTATCTTATCCCATTTTAGACTGTAAACTGCTTGAGGGCAGGGACTGATGTGAATGCACGGTATGTAAAGTGCTGTTTAAAGTGTTACTAAACCCCGGACCCTGCATTCACTATATCTGGTCTCCCACAGTACACCCAACATAAAAGTACAATTATTTTAGTAAATATAAACTGCTAAATTCTTTTCTCATCAGCAGTATATAGCAGTCTTGTGACTTCTATCAGTATCCAGCTAAGCACTGGTTAAAGCTTGTAGGAGGAGTTTTCATTCTCCTTTAACTGCCCTATGATATTGCATAACCCCTGACCCTCTGTCTGGACAGTGCTGATTGGCCTTGTGTTGATCACATGCTCTCTCCCAAGAAAAAAAAAAAAAAACTCTAGCAGTACACATCAAACTGAGCATGTGTGAGATGGGGAAACAGCTCTCATTGTTTGAACACTGTTTGTGTGGAAGTAATGTTTTGACTGACATTCTGCAGTTTAGCCAAAAGATGTCACTGTTTTTCTAACACAGCCTCAGACTGCATAGATATTTCTATATTCATGAAGAGGTGGGGTTTTTTTGCACACAGAGTTGGAGAGAACAGGAAGGAGAGAGAGAAGCCATGTTTTGGAGCATGGTGAATAAGGGGCCCTGTGAGCTGAGAATCTGATGACATCCAGGTGTGAAAGCGTCCCTCCGTAACCAGAGCTGCAGCTAAGTGAAGCTGATGAGATTGCTGCCAGGAAGCTGATGAGATTGTACCAGGAATGCTGATGTGAATGCTGCCAGGAAGGCTGATGAGAGCAGAGGAACTAAGCAACATATACAGCGAGACCGCATGCTTGTTGGAGAGACATTTGTTCTGTTCAGAGTCAACAGCGGATGCAAAGCAGACCGGGGTCGGTAAGATCGTGCACGCACCTCATTTCAGTGTTGGCACCTTGAGACTGAGTCCAGGCATATAGTTAGTTAGTTAGGGTCTCTGTTTGTGTCAGGCCACAAATGTTTTTACTGATCATTGGAAGGACTCCACAACTTAAAGTGACATTTCACATTGGAGAGCTGATAAAATCCTACAAACTCAAGCCAGACTGGCGTTTTGCTCAGAAGGAATACTCAGGCACATGCCACAGGACCAGTTATGGGAGAGGAATACTGTAGATTTGTGTAAGATTGTAAGCTGTTGTGCTGCACCGCAGGCTAGCCCATACCATACACCCATACACTGATTCCTGCTCTTTTAGGGTAATAACAGGTAAGGTGTGGCAGCTTAGTTGTGCCCGCCAGTAGGTAAATTACTTCACTTTCTACCTTCATCCATCAGGAGGCGCCATGCTGTGCAGCACAAGGGTCTCAGCCTTTGGGCTGGGTGTATGTAAATTTATTGTATGTTTCCAGCATTTGTGCTTGTGTTTATTTGCCACATCTAAGTAAAATTCTGTTGTGGCAAAAGCTGGTGTTGGGGTTGCTGTCCTCGTTTGTGACTTCACTGTATCCTGGGGAGCCCACCCCGGTACATGGCTTACACATGTGCAGAGTGTCCTCGAGGCTGTGTTCTACCGGGAGATGAAATAGGGAACCTGGAAAAATGGAAGGATTAGAGAAGACAGGATCAAACATCCTTTTTTACACAATGCAGAGGATTAACCCCTAAATTCCACAGTGAGTATAACAAGCATGCTTTACTGCATATACAGACTGATTTTACTGTTGTGGGTTTAGTATGTGGATTCACATATGTCCATTGTGAATTGATGCTCAAGTTTCACAGCTAATTGACAAAGTAGTTTTTCACTGGTTCAGGTCAGGTTTAGATCATGTTCAGGACAGGTTTAGATCAGGATCGGGTCAGGATTTTATCCTGTTCACAACTGATGACATGTGCGATTCAGAAGCATTCCCACAGAAGTCAATAAGCCTGAATTCACATCTGAACCAGACTGCACTGTTCAAAAAACTGACAGGACTTTTTTTTAGTTCGCACCACATCCGCACATCGCATATGTGTGAAGAGCACAATAGAAACCAATGTTATTTCACATGTCATGCGAGTTGGATGCAATTCAAAATGCATCCAATTCACATTAACGTCAATCAGCTCTAGAGTGATACTAAACACACAGTGGGGTTTATTTACTATAGCTGGAAAGTGCAAAATCACGTTCACTACTGCATAAAAACCAATCAGCTTCCAGGTTTTATTGCCAACGCTTAATTGAGCAAGCTGAAGTTAGAAGCTGATTGACTACCATGCACAGGTGCACCAGATTCTGAGTGAACCAGCTTTAGTAAATCTCCCCCCAGTGTATAACTGACATTTTCCCTTCTCTCTCTGTGTATGGATGATGGTACTGTAATTATTTAAATTTAAAAAAAATCTAAGTACCCTTTTCGTATTCAATATACAACTGTCACATGACTTTGCTCTTTTCCAGCCTGTCTGTAGGGGAACATAAGCAGGATGAACCTCTAGTCCTCTGCTGCTGGTCACATGTTCAAAATAAAAAAAAATAGCCTTTGGAACACAGAGTAAAATAAATAAATAATATCAATAAACTAGTTTAAATTGGCATACAAAGATATATATGAAATCAAATCTTTATTATTTCCTGGAAGTAACATGGTGTGGATGGATTTCTGACAGTCACAGCATGTGTCACACCCTTCCAGTCTGCGTCTTAGAATTAGAGGGAGGTGAAACCTCCATCAATCTATACCTATTATCCCGCCCTCGTTGTGTTTTGATGGTTAGTGGGCATGGAGGAGGAGGGAGAGAGTGGGCTGTCATTTATCACTGTGTATACACCCACATGTGTGACTATATAATCACATGGGTTGCTCATATCTGATAGGGAGGAAATGCTCAACATAGCAACTCACTGAAAACTGAGCATGTGCAGAGTTGCCACTACAGCTGCAAAATCCCTAGCTGAATTGGGGACATGAACAGAAGGTGGAGATAGAGAACAGCAGGTTCAACCAGGTTGTTTGCAGAATACAGAAACAAATCTCATAGTGACTCAGTGAGTAAGAACAGCATGTAATACAGCATTTATTGGAAGCTTTTTTATTATGTGGGTATAGTAATGCTTTCAATTTTCAGAGCTATATAAATACCTGTAATAAATAAAATAAGTAAATACATATAATATTACCTTTACACAATGGCTCTAGTTACTTTCACTGCATTCCTTATTGGCAGAATGTATTTTTTTCTATTGGTTAATCTCCTATAATAGACAAAAATCAAAGCCAATCAGAAAAAAAGGCTTGACGTATTTGTATCAGACTGAACACAGACCTTTAAAGGTAAAGTCAATTTTTACGCAATTTCACAGCTGCTACCTAGGGATTCCTTGAGAGGAGTAACAGAATAAACAGGCTGCAATATATAGCTAACAACTACCTATAAACAAAGGTATATGGTATAGCAAAAAGATAGGATGTGTCACTAAATCTGGTTAGCTGCTAATTAGGGTTACTATACTATTAGCATCATCATATTTTTCAACACCTTGTCACATATGTATTTACAGTATGTGTATTACAGCAGTAGTGTTAGTACTATGGTAATATTTACATACTTCAGCAATTATCCTCCCCCCAGTATAACTTTAAATATCCCATTCCCAATTTTCAGCCAACCCACATTTTTTTAATTTTTCTAATAAATATTTATTAAAAGGTTTGTATAAAATGCAAAATGTATCGACTTGTGGATTAAAATATGAACTCTGAGTTGAATATTAAGGAAAAAAAGTGAAATAAATAAAAACCATAGTGGTCTTGATAGTTATAGAAATGCCACCAAACATACATCTCACTTCTCATAGTTTGGTTGTACAGTCTATACTATTGGACTCTGAAAGCAATTAGGTACTAATAGTTGAGATCTCACTTAAAGGTAGGGAAGCTGGATAAAGCAAAGTGAGATTCTTGCAGGTTGTAGCAGAAATACAGGTGTTAAAATGTTGGGAGGTATGTGAGCACATTCACATGTTGTAAGAGTGTGTCTTCTTGTAAAGTTTCAATATCCTGTGGGGCAATAACTTTACAAGAAGACCTCAACAAAATAAAGGGCAACTACATGGCAAATGAGGTTTAATGTTGAAAAATGCAATTGGGGGCTAAAAATATGAACACAAATTACAAACAAGGGGGAGAACCTTTGGGGGAATCCAGGATGGAAAAAAAGATCTGGGGGTCCTAGTAGATCACAAGCTCAAAAATGGCATACAATGCCAAGATGCAGCAAGCAAAGCAAGCAGAATATTAGCATGCATTAAAAAGTGTATTTACTCCAGAGATAAAACAATGATCCTGCCATTTTATAAAACTCTGGTTCGGCCACATCTAGAGTATGCCATCCAGTTAAGGTCACCAGTCCTCAGGAAGGATATGCTGGGAATGGAGTGAGGCTAGAGAATGGTAACAAAGCTAATAAGGGGACTGGAGGACCTCAGCTATGAGGAACTACTCCAAACTTTAAACTCATTCTCCCTGGAGAAGAGACGCTTGAGAGGCGATATGATAGCTATATAGAAATACCTTAAATATCTAATGATTCTAGCATAGGAAATAAACCAGTCCTCTGGAGTGTAAGACTGCACAGGACCACTCAATGAAATTGGTGAAGAAACAGTTTAACCTTAAACTGCATAGGGGGATTTTCAGTGTCAGAGGGGTAGGGATGTGGAATTCCCTTCCACAATCAGTGGTGTCAATGGGAAGTATAGATAGTTTAAAAAAACACTTAGATGGGCATCTTAACGCAGTATACAGGGATACGGGAAATGGTTTTTAAAATGAACACACAAACCCATACAGGTTGAACTGGATGGACTGGTGCCTTTATTCAACTTTACCAACTATGTAACTATTTTAACATAACCTTACATTATTGATTTATTATTTTACCAACATTACATGCAATTGGTCTTGAATTATATATAGAGGTGTATAAGCAGTTATTCACTTCAGATACAATGACTTTATTTCATAGTAGTCATAGGTGTCCTGTGTGAGTATGGATCTATAAGTACCAGTAGGCACAGTAGGTTTTTACAGGGATGCTGGGTTTTGGATTTGCACATCATAGGAAGGACAGTCAGTGCCATAAAGTCATAAAGAGAGAAGTAATGATGGATACATTTACCACATTTGACTGTTGCTAGTGTATAAGAAAAAGCAGCTGGATGAATTATGTAAATGGATAGCAGGCATGCCAGCCCAATATAAATAATAAATGAAGAAAAGAATTGTACATTGTTCTGCAGAGGAAAAATATGAAATGTGCCGAACATTTCCATTTCTAGAACTTTACTATATGTACAAATGCAAGGGGTGCTTGCATATGGAGCTCAGTACTGAAAATCAGGTAATATTCTTGTGGTTTTCCAATAAATGATCAGGGATGCAGCCTACAAAGATCAGCAAAACATTTATTGAATAATATCATAGGATCAATCCACGATCTACCAGTAGATCTTGGCCAGGTGACTGGTAGATCACGGTCAGGGCTTGCTGACCCTCCATCCCAGAGCATCAAACAGAGTGCAATGCAGAGGGGCTACTTGTAAAGTTGGAGCTGTAGTAAGAAGCAAGAGCCACCTAAGCTGAAGCCTCCTCTGTAGTGCTGGCTCCTACCCCATGCGGAGTGACACCAACTGCACTCCACCATTTAACCCAACTAGAGGTCTCCAGAGTGTTGCCAGCATTAGGAAAGAAGAGATCTTCAGGTCAGTGTGAAGCAATACACTGGGCATAATAGTATAGGGCTGCTTTCACACTGATGCACTGCAGGTGCAGCTTTCCTGCGGGTTTGCTGTGATTAGCCATAGACTTCTATTATAGCCTAAGGGTTTTCTGAGAATGCGGGAGTTTCAGTGCGCTTTCAGAAAGTGTACCACACCTGCAGGATATAATAGAAGTCTATGGCAAAGTGCAGCTAACACAGGAAAGTCACAGGTGCACTGTGATGCACCTGCGGTGAAGGTAAACCACAGCACATCGGTATGAAAGCAGTCTTCTAGAGGGCTCAGAACAGTAAGGGTTCATTTATATTTTCAGATTGGGGGGTGGTGGTAAAACTCCATGGTTAAGATGTGTTTTTACAACCCTGCCCCAACCGCACCCCCTTTAGCTGCAGTGGCCAGGGGTGTACACATGTTGAATCCACAGCAGAGTTATACACCCTGACATGGTTGATGGGTGTGGCTCCTTCCAAGCATGACCAATTCAAGTGAATGAGACTCCTCTGCAAGCCTCCTGCACCATCATGCAGTACAGCAAACAGGGGTTAAATTAGGCAGCATTTTGTTGATTTCTCACCACCTGCCCAGCTTTCCGAAAGCACACTAAAACTCCTGCATTCCCCACAAACAAATGCTCTATTATTATTGTATTAATTCTAAAAATTTAAAATAGAAATTCCTAGTTTAGGTACTACATGGAGCACTCAATGTCTTGGTGCAAGAGCTTTACCTCTCTCTATATATTGAGAAAGGATATTAGCCACAGACTTGGTGCATTGTTTTCAATGAGCTGTACAATCATAGACGCTTACTGTTAGAAGATTCAGTAAAGCACATACAGGAAAAATAATCTGTGTATTTACTAAACAAATATGGTTCCCACCATGTACATACAGTATATAGTTACAAAATGTGCATACAAATAAAGTTTTTAAAAAATTAGTACATATTATCAATTACTTACATAACAC